CCACTCCCCAGCTACTCTGCGTACTAAAGTTGTACTACCAAGTCGCCACTTCTCATCTTCCAGCTCCCCAGCTACTCCGCGTACTAAAGTTGCACTACAAAGTCGCCAGTTCTCAGCTTCCAGCTCCACACATTGCTCCGCGTACTCAAGTTGTACTAGAAACTCGCCAGTTCTCAGCTTCCAGCTCCCCAGATACTCCGCGTACTCCAGTTGTACTACCCACTCGCCAGTTCTCATCTTCCCACTCCCCAGCTACTCCGCGTACTACAGTTGTCCTACCACGTCGCCAGTTCTCAGCTTCCAGCTCCCCAGCTACTCCGCGTACTAAAGTTGTACTACAAAGTCCCCAGTTCTCAGCTTCCACCTCCACGGCTTGCTCCGCTGCTAAACGAATCGCGCTCTCGCCTGCATTTCGCGCACTCGACACGCACGATCTCCGCAGAAGGTTGCGCGGGCACCCGGCGCGCGGCGCGCCTGCATTTCGCGCACTCGACACGCGCGATCTCCGGAGAGGGTCGCGCGCACACCGGACGAATCGCGCTCTCACCTGCATTTCGCGCACTCGACACGCACGATCTCCGCAGAGGGTTGCGCGCGGACCGGACAAATCGCACTCTCGCCTGCATTTCGCGCACTCGGCACGCACGATCTCCGCGGAGGGTTGCACTTTCGGTTGACGCTGTTCGTCCCACCCTCCGCCTTTAAGAGAGAATTTATAAAGTGGGGAAATGTTTTTTCATTAGGACATCTCCCGTGCTAGTTTTCCTCATTAGGACATCTCCCGTGCTAGTTTTCCATACTCACACTTGCCTACTCATTGCATGCTTGCATACTCATTGCATGCTTGCATACCCATCACTTGCATACTTACACTGCGTGCTTGCATACCCATCACTTGCATACTTACACTGCATGCTTGCATACCCATCACTTGCATACTTACACTTGCATACTTTGACACTTGCATACTTTGCACTTGGATGCTTTCGCTCTTCCACTTACACTGTGGTGAAAGTGTCAGTGTGTAAGTGTAAGTGTCGAAGTGTCAGTGTATGTAGTGCAACTGTGGTAGAAGTGTCAGTGTGTAAGTGTAAGTGTCGAAGTGTCAGTGTTCAAGGGATTTTCCGGAAGAACCCTTCGCAATGCTTTCGGGAAAAACATTTCATAGGAACTCTATTTATATAAAGAAATATGATGTGTTATAACACTACTTAAAATCATAAAACAGCGCACTCTGACAAACACCCGGACTCTTTAAAAAATGCGCCCGAGTTTTTTGTTATTAGGGGGTGGGGGGAGGCCGTGTTTTTTAATAGATGGAGAGATTAGTCGTCTAGAAGAGGAACACAAGATAACATCCAAGACTTGTGAAGCATCAATCTGGACAAAGGCTGAACACAAAAGAAGCACCCTGTCAAACCCCAGCGAAATGTCTGCAGTTTTCTCACCGGAAACCGATCTTCCTTTCAAAACTTGCCAATCTCCTCTCGTTGTGTTTCTCGTTAAGTTCCCAAGCGCCCAGAAGCGTCCCGGTCTTGGTGCAGAGTGAAGGTAAATACAAATCATGAAGAAAGAACGGAAGAAAACGCCACATGAAAAATTTTCTCTTGAGCTTTGTTGCTTTTTGAGCTTTGTTTCACGACGACATAGAAAACGACCCCGAGGCATTGGCACTTGCAGATCGAGCTGCACCTCATCCGTATGTCGTTTGCAAAAAAAGAAAAATACCACCGAAATGAAAGTAAGATAAAGTAAGAGAGTAATGTCGTTTTGGCCAGGACACTCCTGTCACCAACTCCAGCTTTGGCCTCACAGAACACGATGCAGAAAACATCGATCGCCGCGTGTGGCGCTTCGGCGGTCCAGTTCAAGAGTCGGCGCCAAACCGTTACGCCCCCTGTTCCGAGCATCCGACGATGCAGCGGTTGATCACCTCGCGCAAAACCGAAAACCGAAAACCGGTCAAAGACACTTTAAACCGTAACTGTTCGTTCAAAAAGAGACGTCACGCGTTTCACACACCGCTTTGGTTCTCCTCATCAGAATGTCCATCTTCTGCCAGTTTCGGGAGGTAGTAACCTGAGTTCTGACTGCAGTGTGGAGGAATCCGTTGCTGTATATCGAATACTGTTGCGAGTTGCTGTAGAGCGCCTTTTCTCGAATCTTGGAGTCCAAAGTGCTCACCTCAAACAGTTTCACAAGAGAAAGTCGAACAGTTCGACTACGAGAAGAGTCAAAGTCTGTGTTGGGCCCTCGCGGCCGGAAGTAAGCCGCCACCCCAGGTGACCAAGTTCCTGAGCCGAAAGGTTTTAAGGACGGTTTTAAGAGGAACATGGTTTTTAAGAACTGAAAAAGATGAATTCAAATTTGCCCATTATTTCGAAAAAGTGTCGATGTCTAACTTTGTGTCCACCAGAGGTGGCTTTATTCTAGAAATCAAGAAACTTGAAACAACAACAAAAAACAAACCAAAAAAGCACCAGCAAAACAAAGAGCAACCAAGAAAGCAAAAAATACAAGAAAAAAGCGCCCAAAAAAAGCACAAGCAACACAGAGGGTAGTTTGGAGGGGCCGGGTAGGGTTAGCACTGGACACAGGACTTTTCTGGCGCCGGGTCAGAAGTCGCACTTTTGGTCGCTGTTTGATCCAATTTTTTCCGGGGCCGGGTAAAAAAGTTGCACTTTTGGGTCGCTTTTTTTCACTCTTGTTTCGCTTTATTTTTGTTGTTTTTGCGAAAAAAGAGCGAAAAAAAAAGCGATCGAAAGTGCACCAGAAAGTGGACCCTCCCCCAAAAGTGCGCCAGAAAGCCCGGCTGAGTTGTTCCATTTTTGCTTGCAATGTTGTTTGTTTTTTTGCTTTTGTGATTGCTTTTGTTTTTCTAGTTGCATTTTGTGATTGCGTTGTTGTTTTTTCTTTTTTCTAGATGCTAAACTTCTCAAGATGCTAAACTTCTAGAATAAAGGGGTTTGGCAGACACAAGTCTAACTTGGAACGACAAAGAACTGCTTCGCAGCTTGACCCTTAGCTCCTTTAGATGCACGACTTACATGTTATGGTACCGCACTATGGTGCCATACGACATCATACGACTCTTCACAGACTTCGCTCCGTGCAGATCCTGTGGTTTCTTTGCGTGACTTCGCTCCGTTTCGCGTTGCCTTGAGCGGATTCGGAAGGTCGCCAAAAAGGCACTCCATGTGCTCTGCGTCACGGAATGACGGATCGGGAGAATTGGAACGCGAGATGCAAGATGGGGCACCGTCACCGGGGTACACCTACTTTCACTTTCAGTACCGGTTGTACCTACAAGAAGCTACTAGGAACAAGTGCATCGCTACTAGTAACAAGTGCCTTACTAGTAGTAACAAGAAGCTACAAGGAAACAAGTGCCTTACTACGGTTAATGTTTGCTGCGGAAACACTGGTGGTACACGAAGTCCACGAAGTGCGTTGGTGAACGGCGAACCCGAGAGCGACAGCGAACGCCCACCACGAAAGGAAAACGCGCGCGAACGCGCGACGCCCGGTGCCAGGTTTTGGCAGCATGAGCCCACCCTGCGGTGGGGGTCAGGTAAAACATGTTCAAACCTAGTGCACAGCGTGCACTTCACATCGGTGGAAGCTTTCACAGACCATCGTGGTCTGCGAGCCATGCCCGGATTTCATCTCTCAGGCATCCACCCATTTCAAAATTCAACCTATCCAGCGGCCCATGGGGATCTGCGCAGTAGGCGCAGTGTCGGAGCCTCATGCGGTTCCGGTCGACCACAGCTTCAGCGCAATGGCGCGAGTCAAAGTGCCAGCACTCTCCATGGCGGGATGCCATCACTGGTACCCGGTGAGGGCACACTTCCATGTGGTCATCGATCTTCATCATCAACTTCCGCAGGAGTCGGGCTCCATCACCCAGCAGCTGGTAGAGCTGGTTGCGCTCCTCTATTCCAAGCTCCATCCCCTTCTTGGCCTCTGTGGCGGCTGCTCGGAACTGAGCACTTCGATCCTGCTCAGCCTTGAGAAGCTCGCGGAGACGCGAAGGCACGATCGCTTCATCCTTCTGGGTCTCGGCATGGGCAACCACCACAGGCTTTGCCGCCGGTGCAGCTTTGGTCAATCGACCAATCCAAAAAACCATCAGCAGGACCAGGCACAGGAGTCCTGCCATCACATACAAAAACCAGTCAGGCTCAGGGGTGTTCTCATCGGCGGGCGAGCAGGTGTTCTCTGCTCGAACATGTTGCAGCAGCAGGAGCCATAGTACCCAAACCATGACATTCGAAATGCGACCCTTCTTCACATTCTGCTGGCGGCCAGCGACATGGCTAGAGGCAAAGACATATACAAGAGCGGCCTCATTGGAAACAAAGTTGACATACTCAGACATGCCATTCTCCGGGGTCTCATGGGGCAGCTCATGCGCATGTTCATGTACTTCATGTTCTTCCGGGATTGGTGCATCATGCATGTCATGCTTTTCCATGTTCTCAAAGCCGGAGGTCGTTTCAGCCAAGGCCTGGGATCGTTCAGCTTTTGTCTTCTTCTTCATGGCCTTGTACTCGGGGTCCCAGGTCAGCTTGAGCCGCTGGTGACGCAAGCGGCTGCTCATCAAGGATCTTGCAGAATCCTTCGTGAGCCCATCGGGAATTTGCCGATCAGAGGACATCCATTTCAGGGTGCCACCCAACTCAAGCAAGCGCTCCTTCATCACACGGATCTCCAAGCTGACCCGCTTGTCCACCACTGAAGAGCTTGTAGCCTCTCGGTGGAAGCTGTCGTACAAAGCCTTCGCATCGGTGATCATCACCGGCTTCAAAGTGGAGGTCACACCAAGCAGGTCCTTGAGGGACATGGCAGGCTCCAGCAAATGATGCCAGTAGCGGCATGCGAAGTCAACTGCATCGCTTGCCTGTCCACCAGATTGGGCTTCAGCTCCAAGCGACGAGCGAGCAATCCGCGGCGTGCGGAACGAGCGCCAGTCGATGATGTGGTACTCACCCTCCTCATCTGAGTGCATGAGGTCTTCATTCACCAACATCATGATGTAGCCTCCTTGCGAGGAACCATCAGCTCGGGTGGAGAAACCAGCATCAAAGAAGCAAAGTAGGCGCAGCTTGCTCAATGGACCCAAATGGTCGTAGGTCAGGCCGATGTCCTTGTTGTCCTTGGCAAACCTGAGCAAGCGATTGCACTCAGCCAAAGTGCTCAGTGCCATGGCTCACATGCGCAGCCATCAAGGAGGTGCTGCACTGCAGATGCGGTGAAGTTTGCACTGCCGGCCACTGTAGTGAGCCCAGTAAACCACGCAACTGCGTGATCTCGCGCTCATGCAGGCTGTCAGTCGCTGAGCGCTTCTTGTCATAGTTGATGGGCTTCACCTTCTCCATGTATTTGGTTTGGTGAAGCTTGCGGCCACCGCTGTTGGTCTTCTCTAGCTCACAGCCGCAGTACTCCAGGACAGGTTGTTCTTCTTTCCATTCACGGAAGCTGAAGTTGTTCTTGAGCATCTCAACGACTGCCTGGTAGCGAGGACTGTGTGGGCATCCAGTGCCAAGAAGATCATCTACGTGCATGATGATCGTTCCAACCATGCGGTGGTCACCGAAGCTGCTCATCGTTTCATGCACGGGGTCATTGGCGTCATAGTTGGGGTCATCCAGCTCGTAGACCAGGAAGGCGCAAGGATCCAATGCATGCTGTCGGAGGCCCATTTTGGTCAAGCGCTCAACGGCCTCGAGATACCAGCCACGTGGTGCGTCGATCTGGCCATAACATGGCTTCAACAGCAGCATGCGGGTGTCCTCGTCGGCTCCAAGCAAGCTCAATGCTTCAGAGGGGAGCTTGACCCATAGTTTGCGATCCTGGCCGCGACCCTGTAGAAAGGCCGTGCTGACGTCGGCCGTCCACATGTTCCATTTCATCGTCGCCGACAGTGACAGCAGAGTTGTGTGGGAGAGGAAGTCTCAATGCTACCTGCCAAAGCGTCAGGATCAGCAAAGCCACGCACGATGAGCCGGGCCTTAGCCCTGGGTGACCCGTCAGGCGTCAGGGTTCTTGGACCACTTCAAGAGGATGCGGCTCGTCAAGGTGCGTGCTGGGTCCGCTTCTCGAACTGATTCAAAGACCCATACATGGTGGTCGAAGAAGCTCTTGAGCTCTTTCACCTTGGCTTCTTTGAACAGCGCACGCTCATGAGGACCAAGCAATCGCTCATTGACGCCACCCTTCTCTTTCTTGAACTTCTTTTGTCGTGCCAGCTTTTGATCTTTTGCTTGTTGTTTGGCACTGACATGATGGTGGTGAGGTCCAGCATACATGGCACCCTAAGTCACCCAAATTAGTAATTTTACTAACCATAAAATTTACGTAAATTTCTGGTTTTACTAAGGAAAATTTACGTAAAAATTTACGTAAATTTAAGAGTAAATCCAATTTAGGTTATGAGTAAATCCAATTTAGGTTATTAGTAAACCCAATTTAGGTTATTAGTAAATTTTTTAGGTTATGAGTAAATTTTTGCGAGCATGATTTTGAAGCAGAAAATGTCTCTATTTATGTGAGTTGGCTTTCTCCAAAGAGGCAGGTTTTCTACAGGACAACATGTACTTGAGGATATTTGCGCTATGGATTTTTGTTTTTGTTGACTGAGCATGCCAGGAGGTGTGGACTTTGCCTTTACTTGAAGGGATTGCATTTACTTGAGCATGTGTACCCTTCTTGACTTGAACAAAACATTTTTACTTGAGGGTGTCTACTTGAGGGAGTAAATTTACTTGAGGATATGTACTTTTCTTCACTTTAGGAAGAAGAGCATCTCTGATTCTCTGATGGTTTTTGCCAGTGTGAGGGTGCATGTTTTATGTGAGAGATCTTTTGGCTCTGTGAGAAGAAGAAAAAGAAGAAGAACAAGAGACACCTCAGCAAGAAGGAAACAAGCAGTGAAAGCGCAAAGCTGACAAGATTCTTGGACTGAACTTTAAACAAGTTTGCTTGTTGAAAATTAATTGTTCAAGTTTGTATTAACTGCAGCAAATGAACAAGAGTTATGTCAATGTTGGCTTGAAACCATTGTCAGGAGGCGTGACCGCATCAATGCCATGATGGACTTGATGAGGACGCTGCAAGATGACAGCAGTTCATCTCTGGAATCCTTGCAGTGAAAAAGACACAAGCAGCCTTTGGGGTAGAGTTGAGGGCACGCATTGTGACATGATGTTGAGAAGCTGTTACATGAAGAAGATCTGACTTTACTTGAGAAGCTTTTACATGAGGGTGTGACTTTACCTGTTGAGCTTTTACTTGAGGATGTGATTTCACTTGAGCATGGCACACTTTACTTGAGCGTGGCAGACTTTACTTGAGCATGGCACACTTTACTTGAGCATGGCAGACATTACTTGAGGATGGTTTTACTTGAGTGTATTTTACTTCAGTGGTTGAGACTTTGTGTAAGTATACTTTACATGAGGACGCCATTCAACTTGGAATTGTGTGCTTAGTCTTGTTTAGTTTTGTTGTGAGTTGAAGTGTATTTGATATGTATTTATGAAATTTAGTTCAAAAAACTAGAAATTTAAGAGAAAATATTGATGAATTCTTGATGAACTTTTGATGCACTTTTGATGCACTTCTGATGTACTTTTGATGTACTTTTCAAAAGTGTATACACTTTTGAAAAGTACATCAGAAGTGCATCAAAAGTGCATCAAAAATTCATACGATTTTTTGACAGATTTTATGAAAAGCTATGATATTCTGCATCATATTGTCAGCAAAAAGATATCTAGCATTCTTGTGGGTTTATCCTTTACCTGAGAATGTAAAGCTTTTGCACAAAGAGTTGATCAGCATTGTATGTTGTTCAATTTGAAGTTGGTTTATCCTTTACCTGAGAATGTAAAGCTTTTGCACAAAGAGTTGATCAGCATTGTATGTTGTTCAAATTGAAGTTGGTTTATCCTTTACCTGAGAAGGTAATGCTTTTGCACAAAGAGTTGATCAGCATTGTATGTTGTTCAAATTGAAGTTGTTGAGAGTTTACTGCACAGCTGGCTTATTGGTTGTTGTTTACTTTTGCAGCTAGATTGATCTCAAAGAGCTTTGAAAGGTTTGAAAGATAGGCGCAGTAGCTTGTTGGCATTGGCATGGCAGAGGAAGAGATCCCCATGGGCCAAGTCACTCCTGAGGAGAAGGACGATGGTGTAGTTGAAGAGCCCAGTACACCTGTGAAGCAAAGGCCAGCTTCCAAAGCAAAGACCCCAAAATCCAAGAGCCCAAAAGCAAAGAGCCCTAAAGGGAAGAAGCCCAAAGCAAAAGGAAAGAGCAAGCCAAAGCCAAAGCCAAAGGCAGGCTCTTTAAAAAGGCCTACTGCCAGTGGAGAAACCGTACAGCCAAAGAAGAAGCCAGCAGCTCATGGCTGGGCAGCAGGGTTGCAGGAGGATCAGGAGGAGGAAGCACCAGAAGTTGAAGAGGATGAACCAAGAGAATGTGGAGGACAGACTTCTTCGAGTGCGATGAGGCCAAGAAGGACAGGTCGAAGGACAACAAGTTCAAGGCCTTGTTGTCTGAGGGCTCTCTGCCAGACTATGTTGTGCAGGCTTGGAAGAAGACCTTGAGCATGAAGAAGGGACGCACAGAAGAACAGCGCAAGATAGTGAACCAAGTCCTGGACAGGACAAAGGATGGAAAGCTCATGGTGCTTATACCCAAGATATTTTTCTTGTGCTTGTCTTTCCTGCGTGCTTATACCTGAGTGTGTGTGCTTGTGGTTTTATCCAAGTGTCTCTACTTGTGGCTATATGTTTTACAAATTACTTTCTTCAAAAGATGTGTTTTAGATGCAGTTTTGAATATTTGCAAATCAAAACGTAATGAAAAATAGGAAAACCCTTAGTGAAGACCAACCTAAATAAATTTAGGTTGTACCTAAATCAAATTTACATTTACTAACCCATTTACACTTTTTGCCACCTAAATTCATCAATTTACGTAAATCCAATGAAAATGTAAATTTACTAATTTCGGTGACTTAGGGCAAGCTCCTGTCGAGTGTCGCCGTTCAACTGATAGATGGTGGCACCTGTCCAGGTACCATTGACCAGTGGCGGTGGTGAGTGTTCATTGCCATCATCAGTGAACAGGCGGCTTTTCCCTCCGGGCTGATGAATGAGAGTCACCCGGATAGGATCGAGCTTCGTTGCATCAACTGGACAATCTTTTGGAAGTTGGGCCAGTGGAAGTCGTCCTCGTCGAGGGACACAATGATGCCGGATGAGGCATCCTGCACGGATCTCCCAGTAGTCGGCCTCCTTGTCATTGAGCTGCAGAAACTCGCGCTCATCCATCTTCCACCCGGTAGGCAACGTTTTCGTGTCAAGGTCGTCGAGGTAGAAGGCTTGTCCTGCAAGGTCATCTGTTGCTGGTGGTGTCGGCGCTGAACTGCTGTGCTCTGCATTGTAGGGTGCAATTGCTGCATGTGCAGGTCGTGTTCGCCAGGGTGCAAAGCTCAATGTTTCTTGCCGGTTGAGGCGTGCTCGCCTTTGTGTAAATGTTTCTGCCTGTTGTGGTTCATAAAGTGCAGCTGTTGCTGGATCAAGCTGTGGTCGCTCTTCTGCCAATGGTCGTGATGCATGAGGTGTTGGCTGAGCGGATTGAGCTGGTGGCTCTTCGCTCGGCTCAGAAACTGGGTCCAGCTCGCTGGGGACTCGTGGCAACATCTCAGGATCTGTCGCGGTAGCGCCAGGGTTGTTTGTATCTGCAGCTGCCGCAGTGCTTGTTGTTGTGTTCTGTTCTGCTTGTGCTGCCTGTTGTTCTGCCATTTGCTCTGCCAATTGTGCCACTGCTGAATTCGCTGGTGATGTAGGTGTGTACTCCCCTGCTGCTACTGGTGGTGGTGCTTCAGGTGCATCAGGTTGTGGTGCATCAGGTAGTAGCAATCGTGGTCTCTGTCGGGGAGGCGCCATCTCGTGATCAGAGTCTTCCATCACATCACCATCAGGATCATCATGTTGATCATCAGATTCGATCTCAGCCAGTGTCCTCTTGTTGAGGTGGTGGAGGTCGTAGTAGCGAGTGACTCCACGTGAACGAAGCTGCTGAACCGTAGACAGGGCTTGTTGAGCATCATCCAAGGCATGGCCAATGCTTTTGATGTCGGCACGCACATGATGAGGTGCACATCGAATGAGCTGTGTCTTGTAGGCCAGCCAGTACACATGGACACGCTGTTGACCTTCAGAATCAGCCTTGCGCTCTTTCATCACAACCTGAGCGGGTCCAAGCCAACGAATCTTCACAAGATCAGGTTGTCGAGCATCTCGCCAGAACCAAACCTTCTGGCCTAGGCTGTACTCAGCGTTCAGGCCACGGTACTTTGCTCCAAGTGCCCTGCGGAGACGGCGGTCAGCATCGGCCTCAATCATGGCCTTTTGAGCCGTAGAGCGACGGGCCAGGTTGATCTCGAAGTCCTCATGGCCACCAAACTGTGCAGGGTTCAAACGCTCAGTCAGGAGACTGCCTGACAGTTGAGGCTGATAGCCCAAGACCCACTGGCTAGGTGAGAAGCCAGACACAGAGGTGACGGCATTCAACTGAGGAACCACATAGACCAAGGCCTCTTTGATGCCAGCTGCATTGAAGTGCTTGTACTCGTCGCAGTAGACCTCGAGAGCCTTGCGAAGGACTGCAGGGCGTCTCTCAACGATGGACAATCTCTCATGGGCTTCACCAGGGGCGACTTCATGGAAGATGTCGTGACCTGCTGTCCACTCTTCAAACTCACGACTGAGCCACCCTCGTCCTTCGTCGGTGATGAGGTGCTGTGGAGGTCCAAACATAGCAAGCCAGCCACGTTGAAAGGCTTTCACCAGTTCCTCAGACTGTTCGTTGTGCAGCAGCATGGCCACAGTGAAGCGAGTTGCGACGTCAACCATGCTCACGATCGGGAACTTGGTCGTGCCACGACGCAGCCAGAAAACGTCAGCCTGCACAGTCTGGTTGAATGTCGCTGTCGTAGGCATCGCAGCGGGTGCAGCATCAGCGGGCTTCTTGTATTTGGCGCAGGCGACACAGACATAGGTTCTTGCTGCTTCAAGGACTTGATCGCTGGCGCCACGAGCAGCAAGCAGCTCTTCAAGCTCTTTGGGCGCAGGATGTCCAAGATTGCGATGCAGCTTCTGAACACTTCGAAAGGCATCCTGCTTCACCGAGGTCCGCAACTTGAGAAGGTTGCCAGTGACCAACTTCTGCTCGGAGGTGGTGTAGCCAGCTTCCCATTGCTGAGGAGGTTCATCCAGTGAAATGGCCGCTGCAAGAGTGCTTGCAAGTCCAGGTTGGTAGTCTTCCATGTACTTGGTGCGAGGACCCATACCTGGCATGTGGCCTTCGAGGTTGCAGTGCTGATGATCGCCTTGACATTGAAGGTCATGGCATTCTGCACGGCCTGCTTGGTCGTCAAGATGGACGTGCTCTTCCGTGCAGGTCGCCAGACATTGTCCGTATCCAGGCACATAGAGCCATAGCGACATTGATCAAAGTCAGCACGACGGCCAGGAAGATCTCGTAGAGCTCGTGTCTGCCAGGACAAGGCATGCTTGGGTTGCTCAATGTGAGCATGCCGGCCACCGTGGACCTGTCGGAGGTACACCTTCTTGCTGAACATGAGATGCCGGTCATGATGGAACTGCCTGGCAGCACGCAGTGCTTCGAGTTGTGCTGGAGTTCGTCGGCCAAGACTCTGCATGCGGCTCCAAAGTTTGCACTCAGGTGCAAGAAGAACTTCGTCAGGGCATTCTTCATCAAGTAGATCCAAGAACTGCTGTTGGTGGGCCAATCGACTGAAAGTCCCAACCAATCTCCAGTGAGAACTGTCGCACGGTCATGCCCAAGGACTCGGCCACTTGAGACATACGAGAAGCACCACAGTAGACTTCCCAGACCACCCTCTTCGTCTCAGAGGGGTGCAACTGCTTGGTGACATAGGCGGAGAGGTCGTTCACATGGGTGCGCAGTTGCACAGACATCGTTTTCAAAGTGTGGCCTTTGAGAACCTTCATGCCGTTCTCGAAGTCCGGAACCGTCTCATCGAGCATGCTGAAGGCCTGTTCTGCTAGCTGGAAGTCGTTCAGGGTCAAGCCATCCTCTTGTGCCATGTTTGGCTCAGCAGTGCGAAGGCAAAACTCTGGATTGTCAGGGTCGTAGGTGACATACTAATAGGTCCGAAACGAGTTGTGTCCACTGTAATATAGATATAACTCAGTTACGGTGTACTTATATCTTGAATTTATCTACGCTGTAACAGCGCGCTAAGTTCGTTGTAAGTTCGTTGTATCTTCGTCGCCCTTGTGAAAAACATGTTTTTTCGCCAAAATCTTGCCAGCGCAAACTCAATTTTTCCAAATTCGTGGCGCTAGTGAAGACATGATACAGAGTCATCATGGAACTTCCACCAGCTTGGTTGACAATGCGGATTTCGCACGTCTATAGCGCAAAGTTCGAAGTCCTCCTGCACCTGCCACACGCTGCCCCATCTTTCAGCGGATGCCAGAGTGAGAGGCTTCCCCCCAACGCGAACACCACAGGCGTTGCCGCACAGGCAGCGCTCGACAATGATGCCTGTAGAAGCCCAAAGAAGCACGTCGCCCACTTCGATCTTGCAATGCCAAAGAGACAGGCCACGACTTTCCTGCAGGGTCGCATCCCGCAGCGTGTGTTGCAAGTGTAGATCCGCCCCTCTGCTCGGGGCCCGCAAGCCCCACGCATTCAAGCCGTGCTTGTTCGTTTCATCAACGACGCTCAACAGCATCCTGGGTAAGAGTGAAGCCTGTAAAGCAGCGAAGTCTTGCGAAAGAACTCCGTCCTGCTCTCACCATTGAACCCGGCTTTGTCCAAGGTCCCCAGATGACGCTGGACCATGCTCTTGATATTCTCGCAGTGGCGGCAAGTCCAGGAGTTGACTATTTGCTTCCCCGGCGCGTCGGCCGGGAAGTCACGCCTGCACTCTTTGCAGGTCAGAGTCTGCGTCTCCTCCACGGCGTGTGGTGGACGGAAGAACGGCGGACGCCCGAAAATCAAAGCCGGACAAAGAGTGAGCCAAAAACGCTGCTCCAAAAACCACGGTCAACGAACGGATCCGACGACAATCCGACGACATCCGACGCTATAGGCCCCCTATTGTAATTAAATAAGCATATATATAAAACCTATAATCCCACGTCCATCCGACGACCATCCGACGACAATCCGACGACATCGCGAGATACCATTTTTTTCTCTCTGTCTGCATGAGGTTCCTCGGCTTTGTGCCAGAGCTGCCGGACTGCGGCCGGAGCTGTCCAGGAGTGCGCGGCTCCCCATTCTGGCCCGCGGGCGCAGTCCCTGGCCACGCACGCGCAGTGCGTGGCTCCCCTTTCTGCCCAGGAGGCAGCGTCCCCCCGCACGCGCGCGCAGCGCGTGCGTCTTGCCCCGCAGACGTCGTGTCCGGCCACGCACGCGTAGTGCGTGGCTCACAACTCTGCCCCGTAGAGGCGCCGTTCCTGCCCACGCACCCGTAGTGCGTGGGTCGCCCCGTGGGTCGCCAGTGGAAGCTTCGCGAGCTGTAAGTCTGTGTCCACTTGCGCAGTGGCTCGAGAGGACCAGGTTTTCCAGCGGTTCCCAGGTTCTCTAGTATGCGTCGCAACTGGAATTTGTCTTCGCCCGGCTAAATGCTTTCGCACATCCCCAACATAGCCGTCATGTTCGCCAGCGTCCGTTCCGTGGGACTGCGCAAGCCCATGCTGTGTAGGAGGCCGCAGAGCGCATCTGTCCGCCTCCTCAGGTTGTTGGCTCTGCGCATCTTCTCCCACACTGACACAGGCAGAGTGTCTTCAAAGCCTGTGTAGTCTTGCTGCTTCCTCCGCGTGTATTGCTGGCGCTCCACTTCGTCTGACATGGCCGGCGCGGAGTCCCTGGGGTCCAGTTCCTGGTCGGCTGAACGGCGCTTGAGCCAAAAAAACCCTCAAAATCTTGGCAGTAGTGGAGGCGTGTGTTTCTCAAAAAAAAGGTTTCGCGTAACTCCGCTAACTCCGTTGTATCTTCGATGTATCTGCGTGCTATGTACGTTCCATGTATATATAAGTGCGTCCTAAGAGCGCTATTTATGTTATAACTTTGTCTTGAATAACTATGTTATAACACAATTGAATTATGTTGAATTGTGTTAGATCACGGTTCAATACGGTTGAATTGTGATCTAACACAATTCAACACAATTCAACCGTGCTATAACTGAATCGGACCTATTAGTAGTCGTGCTCGGCAGTGAGCGAGAGGAGGTACTCACCCTGACGGCCAATGATGGCCTCACACCACTCAGATGAGCCCAAGCGGATGCGCTTCGAGGCAAAGTCCATGGTCATGCCGAGTGACTCGATGATAGGTCGACCGCACAGCATGAGCGTGTTGCCCGGTAGCAAGAAGAGTTGCACCGTGCCATACTTGCCATCCAGGAAGACGGGCAAATGTGCGCTCCATGTTGACCAAGAGGCGGCATCACCACCAAACTGAAACCTTCGTTTGCCTCTTGTCATGGCGATCTTGTTGACCGGGAAGTGGCACTCATCCTGAAGATGCTGAAGGTATCGCCGGAACGGACCGTAGCCAGCAAGGAAAGCACTTGCACCTGGGTCCAGCATAGTGCAATCCGGTCGTTCATGGCCCAGGTGATCCTCGAAGATGATCATAGTGATCTCGTTGTCGATGAGGTGTGCCATACCTTCAGTAGGAGCCGGTCGTTTCTGGCCAATAGACTTGGACGCAGCTGAGCTCTGAGGACAGTTCGCGGCCCAATGGCCTTGTTGGCCGCATCTCAAGCAGGTCATGTTGGCCTTTGCCCTGCCTTTTGGATCGCTCTTGCCACCGCTGGAAGGCGGGTAGCGAATGGTGTTGCTTTTGCCCTTTCCTTTGGTCTTTCCTCCTCCCTTGCCCTTGCCCTTTCGTGATGTTGGACTGGATGATGGAGAGCCGCTACCAGCTGCAAGGGTCTGGTTGTCGGTGAGCGCAACCACAGGGAGGTAGCCACGAGCCATCTTGAGTTCGTTGAAGCGACGTCGTGCGTCTGTGTAGGAGGCGAACGCTGTGTCGAATTCTTCGGCCATCTGATCAGGATCTAGTCCAGTCTCAGAGGGATCAGGCCACGCTTCATCACCATACTTAGGTGAACCCTGTGCCTGCTAAGTACTTAGCAAGGTTAACATAGTTAGCTAAGTACTTACTAAGTGCTTATTTTGTATCAGGTACTCCTAGGAAAAAAAGTGATGGCACCTCGTGTAAAATCACTTTGGAGATACATGTTTAATTGACACACATTGAAGTTTTTTTGCTTTTTGGATTGAAAGGAAATGCAAAAGAGCTACTGAACGATTTTGTGGTGCTGTGCATTGCATTTTTGCAATGAGCACCAATAGGAAATATTCCTTATACTAAATCAAAAACGCTTGTTTGGTTGTTTCAATAAAAACATATGTGCATTACAAAATGAAACATTTTTTGGTTTGAGAGCAAAACAGCATCGATTCAGCAATTAAAGCATGCATGCAATGCCACAGCCATTACAGCTTGCTCAGAGCTTGGAAGCTTGCAATGCCATGAGGCAGTGGAAGCTTGTTGCCTCAAAGAGAGCAACACAAAGCGTGTTGCTACAAAAAGCTAAGACAGCTTGCATTGACAAAACCAACAATGCTTGCAGTAACATTATTCAAGGAAGGCCTGCAATGCATTGGTTTGTATACAAGCGTGAAAGCTTGACACGCCAACTATAAATACCAAAGCCAACAAGACTTTCAATGGCAAAGCTCAAGAAAGCTTGCAATGACAAAGCCAATGCAAAAGATGCTTGCCATGATAAAGCCAGTGCAATATTGGCAATGGCAAAGCCAAGCAGGCTTGCTGCAACAAAGCCAATAGAGGCTTGCAATGACAATGACAAAGCTAAAGTGAAGCTTGCAATGAACCAGCCAAGAAATGCTGCCTGTGGCAAAGCCAGCAGCCTTTTTCTGCATGCAGTGTCACATGGCTGCAATGCTCATTGGCATTGCTTCTTCAAATGCAATCGCACCTGCCAAGGTATCAATGTTCTGACTTTGTTTTTGCTTCTAGTGTGCACCAAGGGGCACAGCAAATCAGTTGCAGGCACCAAAGAATGTTCCCCTGCATCCAGCCAGACAGTGGACCCATGCACTTCATCATCCATGTCCAACTGAAAGCTTTTTGCAAAGGCAAAAACATTGCCACAATATGCCACAAAGGCGACCACTTTCACTGCAGAAAAAGGTTTTGCCAGTGCAATGTCTGCCTTGGTGCACATTGCCTTCTCCAGTTTGCACCTTGCAGCCACTTCAAGAAATTCCACTGGTATTTTGTGGCCAAATGTTTTTTCCATTAAAGCATGGAACTCCTTGCTTGCCTTGTGGCCATTGACCAAATGGATTCCTTCTGTAAACAACCCAGGCTGCTTCAAATGGAACAGTTCTTCAGCCAAGCACTCTTGGAGCAATGTTTGCTCATACACCAATGTATTGCAAACTCTGGAAGCAAACTTGCAAATAAATCGGTGCTTCCTCTCCATTGCAAAGCAAGCTGGCTATTTTTTAAATCTTTGCAGTGCACTGGCCAAATGCAATGTCCAGTGGAATTTTTTGATCATTAAGCTTTCCAACCCTGCGTCAATCCACTTTGCCAAACATTGTTCTGCTGCATCCAATAGGGCCTTAGGAGTGCAAATGCCCCACACTTGGCCCAAGTGCACCAAATCCAAAAGGTTTGCACAGGCCAGGAAAGCTTCACACAGTTTTGGATCAAGAAATCCTTTGGGAAGCAACAATGTTTTCACCAAATGAACCAGAATTGGCACAATTGTCAAGGCTTCACTGGCCTGGCAACCAAATTTCTTGTTTTGTTGGTATTTCTTAACATGTTTGGAATCGAACAAAGTTTTCAAATGTTGTGGCAAGTGCTGTGGGCATATCCACAGTTCCAAGTAATCATGAACCATGGACCAACCAGTGCCAGTAGGAAGATTTGAGCAAATCATATATATGGCCACTTGGATGATACCAGCTGACACCAGGCAATGCATCCAATCATGGCAATACTGCTTTGCTGGCTGCAATATGTGTGACCACCGTAACTGCTTGTCGAACAGCAGGCAGCATTTTGCATAGGTCAACCCACAAGCTTTTTGCCAAATCTCAAAATGGCCTTTGGGCATTGAATGAAACTTTTTCTTTAGTAGTAGTAGCTGTCATGTAGTTGTTTTGTGGTGTTGCTCTAGTCTATGGCTAGATACAATGTTGTATAACTCCTACTTACATAGTTGCAATCCATTGAACTTGTACTGTGCATTAGCAGAGCACTGCTGGTGTTGAACACCCTTGACAATAAAAGCACACAAACAATAGCAGTGAAGAATCAATAACACATACATCAAAGAAAGCCACTTAGGCTTGCAAAGGCGAAGCCATTGAAAGGCTTGGAATCCAAAGCCATTAGAATGCATATACAAAACCATAATGAAAAAGTAAACATTAAATATACAAAACAGTCATTTAGGCTTGCAACCTGAAGGCATATAAATATCTTTACAAGATTAACAAATAGTAGTCTAAGCCTGGTTTTAATACTATATTTATAGTAAAAATTTAGACCAAAAAAACATCAATGTCTAAATTCAGTAACTAGATCTAGTTACAATAGCTTCTGTGCCTAGATTCAGCATATGAATCTAGGCACAAGAGCCCCAGTGCCTAGATTCAGCAGCTGAATCTAGGCACAAGAGCACCAGTGCCTAGATTCAGCAGCTGAATCTACGCACAAGAGCACCAGTGCCTAGATTCAGCAGCTGAATCTACGCACAAGAGCACCAGTGCCTAGATTCAGCAGCTGATTCTACGCACAAGAGCCCCAGTGCCTAGATTCAGCAGCAGGCACAAGAGCCTCAGTTTCCTTACTGTCCTTCACCAAAAACTTGTTGTCCACTGCTTTAGTCATTAAGCGTTGTTTCCTTTCCTTCACCAAATGTCTTGTCCACAGTTTTAGTCCTTAGGTTTTACTTCCTGCATTTCCTTCACCAACAAGTTTGGTCCACAGTTTTAGTCATTAGGTTTTGTTTCCTTACTTTCCTTCACCAACAACTTTTGTCGACTGTTTTAGTCATTGGCTTTTGCGTCCTTACCTTCTCCAAACATTTTTGTCCACAGTTTTAGCCATTAGGTTTTGTTTCCTTACTTTCCTTCACCAAAATTGTTTGGTCCATAGCTTTAGTCATTAGGTTTTGTTTCCTTACTTTCCTTCACCAATATTGTTTGGTACATAGTTTTAGTCATTAGGTTTTGCCTTACTTTCCTTCACCACAAAGTTTGTGTCCACTGTTTTAGTCATTAGGTGTTGTTTCCTTACTTTCCTTCACCAAAATTTTGGTCCTTAGGTTTTACTTCCAGTATTTCCTTCACCAACAATTTTGGTCCACAGTTTTAGTCATTAGGTTTTGTTTCCTTACTTTCCTTCACCAACAAGTTTTGTCAACAGTTTTAGTCATTGGGTTTTGAGTCCTTACCTTCTCCAAAAGATTTTTGTCCACAGTTTTACCTATTAGGTTTTGCTTCCTTACTATCCTTCACCAAAACACTTTGTAGACAGTTTTAGTCTTTTTTGCTTCCTTACTTTCCTTCGCCGAAAAAACTTTTGATCCACAGTTTTAGTCATTAGGTTTTGCTTCCTTACTTTCCTTTACCAACAATTTTTGTCCACAGTTTTAGTCATTAGGTGTTGTGTCCTTACTTTCCTTCACCAAATTTTTTTGGTCCATAGTTTTAGTCATTCGGTTTTGTTTCCTTGTTTTCCTTCACCATTTTTTCCACAGTTTTAGTCCTTAGGTTTTACTTCCTGTATTTCCTT